GGTTGTGCAATCAATGTAGGTTATTACGTTTCATTTTAATATATTAAATAGCTCTGTTATTTAACGTTGAGCATTGTTAATTTATTACACTATAGGTAAATATATATATATATATATATATATATATATATATATACACTATAGTATATATATATATATATATATATATATATATATATATATATATATATATATATACTATAGTGTATATATATATATATACACTATAGTATATATATATATATACATATATATATATATATATATATATATATATATATATATATATATATATATATATATATATATTATATATTTGCGCTTGCTCGTACATTTCCAAATATATTTATCGATTTGAACACACACACACATATATATATATATATTAAAGAAAACAGACCACTTTAAAGTACCATTATAATAATTTATTCCACCAGACCCCTTTTAAAGGAGGCCGGATCATCAGATAGGACTTCCAAAATGAAATGAAACGAAATATATATATATATATATATATATATATATATAGATATATATATGTATGTGTGTGTGTGTGTGTGTGTGTGTGTGTGTGTACACTTTAGTTTAAAAGCTTGAGACCACCTTTGACTCAAAAAGTAGTTTTTTCGTACTTTGAATCAGACAAAATTAAGATACATGGTTAAAAAAGTGAGATATGATTGTTTATAATACATTTTATGACAAAAAGTTAAAAAGCTTTGGTTAAATTTTGCTCTCGTTGAAATATCCGCTTTGATTAATGCAGTACAAATATTTGACATTCGTTGCAAAAGTTTCTCAAAATAAAAGTTTCATAATTGATTCCATTCTTTTTTCAATGATTTAAGAGATTCTTCCATTTTTTTTTTTTTTTTCATTTTTTTGTCAAGTTCATCCCATGCTAAATCTGGGAATGTCTTCAAATTTTCAAACTTTAGAGTATATGTATGTATGCATGTACGTATGTATTACTTCAAACATTAATTTTATTGGGACCCGTGTTGTTTGTAGTAGACGTCGCGTTAATTTCAACAGAGAGCCTTACGTCTCTTGGCCTGCGTCCTCGAGAAACCCAACTCTCCGGCAGGATTTGAAATAGCGTCCTTTAGACTGCGTCACAGTCAAGCAAGTTTTATTCATTTATTTTTTTTTTATTTATCATTTAAAGGAATGTACACTTCCTCGTTCAGTTATTGTCGAAAGTCCATAACTGCTCAGCTTAGTATCCGAAACGTAAACAAAGCAATTTCTAAAGAATTAATGGATTTATTTTTAATCCGAAAGTTTGATTACTAAGCAACTCGTGGCAATGACACGAACTAATAGGCTGTTAGATATCAAATATTAATAACATATATTTATGAAGCTCTTTCAAGTTTGGCAGAAAGCTTAAATATTGAGTTCCTATCATCTTATACGAGCAACGGCCCTATAATTAGTTAGGTCTATATTTCTCAGATGAGGTATTGTAATTATTTACTTTATTACATTGTTCAGGCTGTTGTCCTCTTTTCAAAGAGTTGTGAGTTCAATACCTGGTTATTGCGGTGAACATAATCTTGGAAAGTTGAGGTAAAGGGAGATAACTGAGACATCCGGAAGAAGTATGGCACGTGAAACGAGAACAATGTACCTTGGTGGGCGAAATAAAGGGTTCAGTTCGAAATTCCAATCACCTGAAGAAGGCCGGAGCGTACAACGGCCGAAACGTCAAGAACATGACAATAAAGATGAGGTCAACGGTCCGAACAATGTAAATAATGTAACTAATTAGTTATGTATTTAAAAAAAAAAAGAAAAATTTGGTGATTAATTAGCTTATCAGACTAATCGCCGACTCTACGATGTCATTTTTCTTTTTGCCACACCAAATTATCACATTTTGCTTTCATTATTAAATAGTGGAGCAATGGATAGCGGCTCGGGTTGAGGAATTGGAGAGCCGAGTTCGAATTTCAGTCGAATCTATTACATTCTTTTACGTGCTAATACCCTTGGGAAAGATATGAATCCTCTTCTTCTCCACCCTCACCACCCGTAGCTATGGGTAAATAGCAGGACAGACCGGGAAAGAATCAGCCTCGTCAGTCATGTATCGAAAGATACATGATCGCTTAACTGAATGACTGATTAAATAGTTGCAGTTATTAATTAGATTTTAAATAGTTTGCCCCAATGTTATACCTATTCAAATTAGAGACAACACGTTCTTGTAATCACAAGCCACAAAGCGTCTCAACACATGGCGTGTTTACATCCAACTCCCAGCTGTTGTTCAAGAACGCAAACTGTGTGTTGCCTTTGCATCGTACTACTGTTATAATTATATGAATATATTAACGACTATCCATTTGTATTATTATCTAATTTAGGTTATTTAAAGTTTCTAAAACTCGATTTTTCTGTGCTAAGACGCTGTGTGATTTTGGAACGAATTTTTCCGAAAAAAAAAGGCGTCGTAGCATACGGAGAATATTGTAAGTGAGTGTACTAAACATGTAGACACCCCTGTGAAATATACGACGGCAGCATTTACCCACTAAGCGTTGCTGTTGTGCTTTGCTTAGTAAGTAGATTTTTACAGGGTCACGTCAAACAGGATTTGAATTCAGAGTCGTTCTTCTTCTTGACGGAATGAGAAAGAAGAATGAAAGAGTCTACTCTTTTATTAACCCCTAGATAGAAGAAAAATCGATAGATCCATCTTCTGAAGGGGAATTGTGAGAAGATGAACTCAATCGCTTCAGTTGGAATTTGATTTCGACATGCCAATGCCTCACCTGAGAGGCACGGTGGAGTAATGGATTATATATCGGCTCGGACTGAGGAATCGGAGAGCCGAGTTCGAATTCCAGTCGAATCCATTACATTCATTTACGTGCTAATACCCTTGGGAAAGGTATGAATCCTCTTCTTCTCCTCCCACTAACGGGTAAATAGCAGGGCAGACTAGGTTCTATAGCCTTGGCTGGCAACTGATTTACCGACAACTTACTTAAATGACAACTTACTGCAGGAAAAAAAAAATCTGCCTTGTCAGTCATGTATGGAAAGATACAAGCGTGTATCACGCATGGCACATAACTGACTGAAATTCACTTACGTGCTAATACCCTTAGGGAAGGTATGAATCGCCTAAGTGTGTATCACACATGCCACATAACTGACTGAAATTCACTTACCTGCTAATATCCTTGGGAAAGGTATGAAGCCTCTTCTTCTCCCCTAGCTATGGGCAAATAGCAGGACAGACCGAGTTCTATAGCCTTGGATCGCAACTGGTTTACCGCAGAAAGAAATGACAACCTACTGCAGGAAAAAAAAATCTGCCTCGTCAGTCATGTATGGAAAGATACATGATCGCCTAGGCGAGTATCACGCATGCAACATAACTGACTGAATCCCTAACCCATTGTCACATGTCCATGTGGTAATTACGTTTAGGTGAAATATTACAGTTAGGTAAACGAACATCAATATATATATATATATATATATATATATATATATATATATATATATATATATATATGAATAATTTATAGCAAAAGAGCCTGCGTTTTTGTTTTGTTTTTTTCAATATATTTTACGCATCTCATGCAATATGACGATTTGTTTATATTGGGTACTATGGATGATACTGTATCGACATCAACAACACCAAATAAAATATATACAATATATAAATATATTCTTCTATGTGCCGCCCGTGTCCTTTCAAAACGTGGGGGTGATCATGGCACTCCACAACCTACTATCATTTGTAGCCATTAGCAACATTTGTCACGACTCTAGCTTACTGTTTTGCCATTCATTGACACAAGCTCATCAGGTAGGTGAACCTGTGCCTTTCTCCGGCCTGTCTTGCCCTGGAGATGCTATGTGAGTATCAAATTCTCCAAATCTTCCTTCCTCATTATGTGTTTAAGAAATTTCTGTTGTTTCTTTCTGATCAAATTTTGAAGTTTTTTTTTTCTTTTTCAAGATTGTGATTTAATTCCCTGTAATCCATTGCTAAGTCTGCTGCTAAGAAAGTCAGTACATTATGTCGTGCTTGACACTTTTTCTCTCTTGAATCTATCATCCATGATAGAAGTCTGCTGCTCATCCATGCTTTGAGTATTGCAGCAACATATGATACGGTACTCCTGTTGTATATTTAGAGATTCTTGATAAAATCCAAAGAAGAATCAGCAATATTATTGTTCCTGACCTGGCGTTTTCGGCTTCAGTCACTTTCCCATCGCCGTAATATAGCTTCCCTGTGATTTTTCTATAAATACTTTCATGGTAATTGTTCCGATGAACTCTTTGGGATGGCACCTAGACTTTATAAATTTAAGCGCAGTACTAGATTGGCGGCAAGGTCCCTTTATTTTACAGCTGAAATGGTTAGCTGTAACCATAACAGTTTCTTTTCTCGCACTTCTAGTTTATAGAACGCTTTTCGGTTTCATGTTTTCCAATCAAATGTGATTTTCAAAGATTTAAATCCAATGTTATCTACTGTCTTCCTGATGACTCTTCTATTGTTCTCGCTTCTGTTTCTGTTTTCTAATTCTTCTCTTGCACTTCACCCTTGTGGAACTCACTTCCGGTTACATGCTTTCCAGTCAACTTTGGTCTTCAAAAATTTAAATGCAATGCTAATTGTTATCTTTCTTAACACCTGTTCTTTTATTGTCCTCTCTTCAACAATTTAAATCTACTGTTTTATTGATTACTCTCCTTCTGTTGTTCTCGCCCCTTCATAATGTTTCTCTATTCTTTCTTATTGATTCACATTCAGTAACACCTTGTGTTTTAGTGGCTTTGTTGTCTTGCATGCGGTGATATGATTAAAAAAAGTTTCTGTGGCGGTCCTCGAAAACCGCTTCACATTAAGAACCATTTACCAATAACTAAAATACTAATTATTATCAAATTACTAATAGCAAAAACAAATACTATAGTCCTGTTGGTAAGCATGGTGAAAACAGAATTTATCACGGTGTTCAGTAATGAAATCGGCTGCTGCAGTTGTCACCGGCTTATTTAGGGTAAGAGACCGGTGACTTTAATAAATTTGACAGGTTTTTAGATCAAGAGCAAATACGCAATCTTTAAGTGATTTAAGAATTGAATTACCTCAAAGCTGTTTTTTTTTTTAATTTAATACCGTATTCCTTCAAGACCTAATCAATCATGGCTCTCCACAGACTCCTTTTTTTTAAAAAAAAATTATATTTTAAGTACCAAAATTGGTCCCAGGAAAGATAGTGCAATGTTTTTCTGTTGCGTTCTCGAACGCTTGAGGGCCCAATCTGCCCTGCTATTCAAAATGTGTTCATGCCTTATCAAAGAGCATTAAACTAAACCTAATCATGAACTCGGCCCTATAGTGTTGAAACACCGGTTCACGTACAAAGTTAACCCTGGTTAACACCGAGACTGATTGAGAATACCAGGTGCTGTAAGCCTTATTGTACGGGTGGTGCATTGGATGATGGCTCGTCATTTTTAAACGGAGAGCCGGGTTCCAGTTGCAGTTTGGTCTGTTATATTCACTTATGTACAAACACCATTGGAAAATATATGAATCCATATTTTCCCCCTCAGCTAGGGGTTAAATAATAAGACATGTATCACTAAATCGTTATTATACCCCCTAATTCTTACACTGCAAAAATATTTTCCGGCTTTAAATAACCAGCAAAAGGTAGATAAGCCAAGCCACTTACATAGAAGCAAATCACCCCCCCCACTCCGTATTCCATCGCCGAGAAGTAAGTTCCACTGAAAATAATTTCTTCTCGTTAACCACTGTTCTGTGAAACCGACTCCCAAGGGGATGTTTTCCTGACCACTACAATCTTAACCTGTTCAAGTCTACAGTTAACTGTTATCTTCCCCCCACCCCTATCCATATAAACTACTCCTTAACGTAACCCTCTACCTCGAATGGCTCTCGGGCCTTGTACAGGGTGAATGTTATTGTAAAAAACTAATCAATAATCAGTTCTTCGATCCCACTTTCCGCTACGCAACCCACACATCCGCTAACGATTTATTCATTTATAAGTCGCGCGCTAAATATCGACTGCTCGATAAAACAGAGTAGATTGGTTTCAGAGCAGTCCTTCTCCTAGACTGGGCGCCAACGAAGGTTAGAAAGAGTGAAAAGAAATCGATTCATGCCTTTTCCGGGAGTTATAGCGCGAACGTGAACGCAACGCTCTAGAAGAGGACTTGAACGCCACTCGCCAGTTTTGTGCCGATATTCGTTACGCTAGCGTCACATCTGTTACCGACTTGTTCAATTAGAAGTCACACTCTAAAAATATCGATTGTTCGAACTAAACAAAAATAAAATAAAAAGAGTAAAGAATTTATAAAATAAATAAATAAAAGGATCCTGTGAAAATAGATGAATAAATAAAATTGAATGAATAAAGGTTAACCCTGAATACTTTGTATCCGCTTTTTGGTAAGAGACAATAACATCGAGAAAATGTTTAGCAAATAACTAGCAAGGATACCTGGCCCAAGTCTCTTTCTTTGCTCCGCTGAGTTACGCAATCGTTTCTTTGTTAGTGGGTTTTGCGTCTGTCGTAAATTGATATTTGGGAAAATTGTCATAATTAAAGCAATTCGATAGGGTGAAGCGATTTGATCGCTATTTATTTAATGTACAGCTTTTCAAATTCTTTGTTTACCTTCATTCTTTCCTTTCGTCCATTTTGTTCGTTCGTTCTTTCTTTCTTTCTTTCTTTCTTTCTTTCTTTCTTTCTTTCTCGTTTACTTGCTCGCTCGTCTTTCTCTCATTTTTCATTCTCTCTGACATGTTTGCTTTTCTTTTCGTTCTATCTTTACTTTTTTCTTTTCTTTCTTTTGTTGCTTTCTTTCTCGTACATTTCTTTCTCTTTTCATTCTTTTTATTGCTTGTTTGCTTTAGCGCCCCTTACTTATTCCTTCCTCTCTCCTTTTTTTCCTAGTTCCTTCCTTCTTTTCTTCTTTCCTCCCTTCTCTTTCTTTCCTTCTTTCTTTCTTTCTTTTGTTCGAATTTCTCTCCCTTTTCATTCTTTTTAATGCTTGTTTTCTTTTTATGTTCCTCCCTCTCTCCATTCCTTCCTTCCTTCCTTCCGTCTTTTTCTTTCTTTCTTTCTTTCTTTCTTTCTTTCTTTCTTTCTTTCTTTCTTTCTTTCTTTCGTTTACTCTTATTTATTTATTACGTTTACTCTTCTTTCTTTCTTTCTTTCTTTCTTTCTTTCTTTCTTTCTTTCTTTCTTTCTTTCTCGTTTACTTGCTCGTTCGTCTTTCTCTCATTTTTCATTCTCTCTGACATGTTTGCTTTTCTTTTCGTTCTATCTTTTCTTTACTTTTTTCTTTTCTTTCTTTTGTTGCTTTCTTTCTCGTACATTTCCTTTCTCCTTTCATTCTTTTTATTGCTTGTTAGCTTTTGCGTCCCTTACTTATTCCTTCATCTCTCCTTTTTTTCCTAATTCCTTCCTTCCTTTCTTCTTTCCTTCCTTCTATTTCTTTCCTTTTTCTTTCTTTCTTTCTTTCTTTCTTTCTTTCTTTCTTTCTTTCTTTCTTTCTTTCTTTTGTTCGAATTTCTCTCCCTTTTCATTCTTTTTAATGCTTGTTTTCTTTTTATGTTCCTCCCTCTCTCCATTCCTTCCTTCCTTCCTTCCGTCTTTTTTTTTCTTTCTTTCTTTCTTTCGTTTACTCTTATTTATTTATTACGTTTACTCTTCTTTCTTTCTTTCTTTCTTTCTTTCTTTCTTTCTTTCTTTCTTTCTTTCTTTCTTTCTTTCTTTCTTTATTCATTCATTCTTTCTTACTTGTTTTCTTTTCTTTTCATTTTATCTTTTCTTTACTTTTTCTTCTCTTTTTTTTTGTTACTTACTTTCTCTCACTTTTTTCTTTCTCTTTTCATTCTCCTTTATTGCTTGTTTGCTTTTCTTTCTTTTTCTTTGTTTCTTTCTTTCTCCCTTCTCCGCCTCTCTTCTTTCCTTCAATAATCTCATTCGAATATAATGTTTTTTGTCTGTTTTTTTTTTCTTTTTCGTTTCCTCTCAGTTTTTACCTTTCCCTCTTTTCTTGGATTTTTTCCTTTTATTTTCTCATTCTTTATACTTCATTCTCATTCGCCTTTTCTTTTTGTCCTAACGTTCCTTTCTTTCTTTACGATTATCTATTTTTGCTTCCACCAAATTAACTCTTTCGAAACAACCCTAAAGAAATCTAAAAGAAAAAAAAGAAAAAGAAAAAATCTCCAAATAAAATGGATGGCATAAGACGAATAAGTGAAATACATCGCGATTGCAAACATCAATCTTTTGTTCCTGTTTTATTTCAAAATTACTGTAAAATTAAAAAGAATCTTTTATTTTTAATATCAAACTAACAACGACACACGGCCATTTGCAATGCTGTCGTTTATTTGCGTCAATCATAAAACGGTTTTAATAAAATTGTCGTGATTACAGCAGGATTTTTTTTTAGGTTTTTAATCATCGTTTTTATTTCATTCTTTCCAAATAAAGAGGAAGGCATGAGATAGGTTGAATTCGTCAGAATTGAAAACATCAGGATTTATTATCTATTTTGTTTAAAGTGTAAAGTTAGGTATTGTTTATTTTTTATATAGTCCTAACAATAATGGTGGACCTTGTGCGATAGAATCGTTTCTTTTCGGATATGGTAGGACGGTTTAACCAAAAAGATGCTTTATTAACAAAACTGATAACAATGGAAACTGTTTGATAGGTTTAAACATTTTGCTAGCTCTTTATTTCATTCTTTTCAAATCATTTGATTTTGTGTTTATGACAGGTTTGGATTAGAGTTCCATTGTTTGAGTGCGCTTCTGGAGAATCAAACAGATGTTTTGAATAAGCACTGTTCACATTTAGACCAATTCAAGGCGGGAACCGTCGAAAACGTCCGGAAATAGTTTTATTATTATTATTATTATTATTATTATTATTTATTATTATTATTATTATTATTATTATTATTATTATTATTATTATTTAAAATGTCTTATTCACCAGATATTGCACCTTGGATTACTGTTTATTCCGGTTTTTAGAATAAAATCTCAGTTCTTAAAAAGGTTGCAACCCCACCCAATCCAGAAAGCATTTCTTTGTTAAGAAGGATAAACATTTCGGGGAGCGGGGCGGATGGAATTATGAAGTTGGTTAAAAATTGCTAACAATAGCAACATAATAACAAAATAGTAAAGCTCCCGCCTATTCGTGTTTCAGCATTCGCGGCTTCACACATTCGCGGCTTCACACATTCGCGGCTTCACACATACGCGGATTTTTCTTTAGAACATATGTACTTGTTATTTGCGCAAACCCCGAATATTTGCGTGTTTTTCTGAAGAACATATCTACAAATTATTCGCTGAGAACTCCCTCGATTCGCATATTTTTTTTCGATAGAACATTTGAAATATTCTTGTATTATTTTCCTGCTATTTAAGTGACTTAAAACGTATAATAGTCCATTTTTATGGTAAAAATTGGCAGAATTATTCATCTTCCTTGTAAAAAAAAAAAGAAAAAAATACAAACACAAGAACATGCGTAGTGCTTGCACTTTGTTTTTTGTTAGGGGCTGAGGCTGGAGTCTTAAAAGTAACTTATGCTAATTCTGGGGGCATCATCACAGTTCTATTTTTAGAAAATATTTTAAACTTTATATTTTATGTCTTGTTACGCATATTTTATCCAGTATTTTCAATGGTTGTATCGATCTGTGCGTAATTAAAAACGGTTATTGTACGTATGAAAGAAAATTTACGCTAAGTGTATGGTCAACAATACTATTTTTTAAGAATGTTTCAAAAAGGGCTTGAAATGTTTCTAAAGTGATTAGGATGAAAGTTTAAGGCATATGGGGTTTTAACACTCAAAATAAGTACCTTATAAGCACTTTTAGGGGGGTTACAAGTATTCGCGGATTCTAACTATTCGCGGATGGTTCTGGTCCCTACCTTCCGCGATATATTTCCTATCCTTCTGTCTCTCATGGCCTTTAGCAGAGTTTGCCAAACCTCACACTGGACATTATATCAGCCATTCTAACATGCTCATCAGCTACCTGGACCGCCGCCTTCCTCTAACTCTTCCTCCCTCGAAATGCCCTGTGAGTGTTAAGCATTCCAAGCCCCACTACCTCATTACGCGTCCAATAAATTTCAGCTGTTTTAATATTAGTATGTTTTTTGTTTTTCTTATTATTTTCTTTAAGACTTTCTCGATGATTACTAGCTTCGTTCACCTTGGATTACCATTTATTTCGGTTTTTACAGAATGCTCTTAAAGAACACACACACACACACACACACACACACACACACACACACACACATATATATATATATATATATATATATATATATAGGGAAGAGGTTATAGTTATTCCAACGAGAGAAAAGTGAAAGTGTATATTTTAAAAAGAAGATAAACTGCAAACGTTTTGGGTTGAAATGTGGATTTTTTCTTTTAAAATATATATTATACTCTATTTTCCATAATTCTGCTACACGTGTTTCTGGTTTCGCGATCTTCTTCAAGCAAAGAGTGGCTATATCCACATATTATAAAAATGATTTTTTTTTTATTTAAATGTCTTTCTTGGACTGGTGATAAGAGTTTATATATATGAGGAGGAAGTGTGGGTTTGTAAACAGTGACTATTACGGTTAATAATGCAAGACTCTTCGGTAAAACGAATCGTGTTCTCTCAGTCACTGTATGCTTATCTAAAAATAAATACGCTTAAATTCGCCTTCATCGCGCCAACGGCTTAGTGGTAGAATCCCCGACTGACGCTAATTCAGTTTCGATCCAAGCTGGAGGCAACCGGACATCTAGCCACACTGATGAACTGTGATACAGCGAAACAGTCTGTCTGTGGATGACAATATATATATATATATATATATATATATATATATATATATATATATATATATTGCATATAGTTCGTTCTTTCTCGTGGTACGACGTCATAGAACTGCATTATGAATTTACAATTTGCGTCTGATATTATACGACCGTTATCGTCACATAGCAATCTTCCATGACAGAATCAACTGCTGTATTTGGTCATTATGTGTGTATGCTGTGTGTGTGTGGTTATGACTTATTTAGTGCTGATTTAAATTTGTTTATGAAGTTTTTTTTCTTGTATTTGTAGGTAAGAATAATTGTCTGTTTGGTATATTGGCATAATTTTAAATTTACCTTGATTACATTTGTAGATGTGTTTTGATACAAAGAATTTTCTGTTGTCAGGTAATTTGATGTTGTTTTTTATGCTTCTTTTTATTATATATATATATATATATATATATAGTTTTTATGGAATATCGTACCTATGGAAGAAAAGTGCTCAATATCAGGGACAGAGCATACGTAATTATAAGCAATTGGAGAGATTTTTGTTGTTCCAAGAAGACCCGAAAAACGTGTAGAGAAATATATAAAATAAAATATGAAAAATCCATAATAATCAGAAACATTTGCGGCTTTTTTTTTTTCAACTATATATATATATATATATATATATATATATATATATATATATATATATATATATATATATATATAATTGTGCGTTTGAGCACCAATCCTTTTTATACAAGTTTCGTTAAAAACGACTAACAAAGTATAGCGGTTAAGTCTTTTATTTTCTTTTCTTGTGTTCTTACAATTTTTTTCTTTTCTGCGCATAAATTATGTAGAAATTGTCCGAATGTTCTGTCTGTCCGTGCGCTTTCGACTGTTCCTTTAGCCATTATCTATGATGATTTTATTTTATTTTTACTTTTGACAATGTATGGATTTTTTATGTTCCTAGAATTATAGGAATGTTTTATTTTTCAAAGACGGTCAACACATTCTGGCCGTGTTCATAGTTAATGTTATTGAGTGTTGTTTTTTTCTTTTTTATGATTAATGATGCTTCCATTTTTTCTCCTTTTTTATCTGTGGATAGGGCATCATATTTGTATTGTCTACGAGTATGTTGCAGATGCAGTTTGGTAGGTCTGTGTGTGGGTTCATCTGTATTCTTTTTCATCTTCTCTCCATCATCCCAGACTATCCCAGACTGTGACAATATAAAATCAAACAAAAATGGTGATAAGATCCTGGACGCAAATTTATTATGGCTGAACTAGCGATCAAACCATTTTCCAGACATTTTTCTCTCAGTGGATTATATTCTCTTTTAATCAAAGCAGCATTCTCTATGACAAAATTGTTGTCCGTTTAGTTACAGTGGACAACCAATACGTTTTGTGTGTTGTTGTTTTAAAATGTCCCTTTTGTTTTCATATTGAAGGAGGAATTTACTCTATCAAATGCAGGACTTGCCAGTATGAATACAGTGGAGAAACCTCAAGAAATTTAAACAAAAGACTATATGCACATGTGTAGACGTGGCAACGTCAAACAAAGCCCAATCCGATGAAATCTTAACGGATGAAACACGTCATAAAAAACCTTTCCAGTTTGTCATATTTTTCTAAATACTGTTTGTTGATATATAAAATTATACAAAATTATATATCGTTATATCCTATATGTTGTGGCTTGTTTAGGGGCCTAAAAAAATACACTTGCTATTTTAATACACTTGTTCAACCTACTTTAGTAGGTTGAACAAGTGTATTGAAATAGCAGATATATACAAAGCAAGAGTGTTAGTAATAAGCAGATAGAGGTGTACGTCCACACGGTAGGTTCACACGGTGTTTACTCATTCCCCCACGAGAATGAGATGTGACACAAGGTGGGATTAATATGGGGACCCGAGCGC